GCAACATGAGGAACGCGGAACGTTACCGAAGGAATCATTCGAAAATCGTTTGTCGCATGTGAACCTGGCCATAAGCCATGGGTGATTTGCTCGTAATGTGTATCCGGTGTCCAAATACCAGTGTTGCCGGCCGTACACGAGTACCCGCCGCAGATGGGCGGGACGCTCCTGGCCATAGAAAACGAGTGACCCTACTACTACTACTACTACCAAGACGAGAAGGACGACGACAATTCTTTACAATTGCTAGCATAAGTGTTGGCATGCTTTCCATTATTATTAATACGACAACCACCACTACCACTACAACTTTAACTACTACTACTACTACTACTACTACTACTACTACTACTACTACTACTACTACTACTACTACTACTACTACTACTACTACTACTACTACTACTACTACTACTACTACTACTACTACTACTACTACTACTACTACTACTACTCCTAGTACTCCTACCAGTACTCCTACTACTACTACTACTACTACTACTACTACTACTACTACTACTACTACGACTACCACTACCACTACTACTACTAGTACTACTACTACTACTACTACTAGTAGTAGTAGTACTAGTAGTACTAGTACTACTACTACTACTACTATTACTACTACTGCTACCACGATTACTACTACCACTACCTTTACTACTACTACTACTACTACCACTACTACTACTACTACGACGACGACTACTACTACCTTAACTACGAGTACCACTAGTACTACAACATCAACTACTACTACTACTGCTACTACTGCTACTACTGTTTTTACTATTACTGCTACTCTACCATTGCTATCACGATTACTACAACAGCAACAACAATAACTACTACTACTACTAGTACTAGTACTACTACTACTACTGCTACTACCACTACTACTACTACTACTACTACTGCTACTACTACTACTACTACGGCATGTACTAGTATTGTAATTAATACCTCGACGGCGACGTCTATTACTACTACTACTACTACTACTGCTACTACTACTACTACTACGACTACCAGTACTACTAGCACTATTACTTATATTATTGCGGGTATTATCACGAGTGGTGCTACTTCTGTTTTTGTTACCACTACGATTCGTACTAGTACTACCACTACCACTACTACTTCGACGACTACTTCTGTTATGATTACTTCGATTTCATCTGCCACTTACTGCTACGACTACGACTACGAATTTCTTGACTATTACTACTACTACCACCAGTATTATGATTACGACTACCAAGAGTAAGACTACGACTAGTATTGCTACGGCTACTCTTGCTACCGCTTGTGCAACTCGTGTTGCTACCGCTGCTGCTACCCCAACTACCGTTATTAGTATTGCAACTCTTACAGTTACGTTTACTATGGCTAGTACAACTACTATTCCTTCTACTACTCGAAGTAACAATACTATCGCGACTACTACTACTACTGCTACTGCTACTACTACTACTACTACTACTACCACTACTACTACTTTTACGACTACTACTACTACTGCTACTACTACTACTGCTACGACTACTACTACTACTACTACTGCTACTACTACTACAACTATTACTACTACTGAATTTGCGACTACTCCGACTAATACTACCACTACTGCGACTATTGCGACTACTACTACTACTACTACTACTACTACTACTACTACTACTACGACGACTGAAACTACTACTACTACTACTACTACTACTATTACTACTACTAATAATAATAATACTACTACTACTACTACTACTACTACTACTACTACTACTACTACTAGTACTACTACTACTACTACTAATACTACGATTACGACGACTACTACTACTACTACTACTAATGCTACTACTACTTTTATTACGAGTAACAGTACTACTACTAGCTTTAGTACTCGTATCACTAATATTGCTACTACTACCTACTGGTACTACTACTACTACTACTACTATTATTATTACGACTACTACTACTACTACTATTACTACTACTACTACTACTATTATTACTACTACTACTACGACGACGGCGACGACGACGACGACGACGACGACGACGACTACTACTACTACTACGACTACAATTAGTACTAGTACTACTGCTACTACTACGACTACTATTTCTTTTTACTATTACTTCTAACTACTACTACTACTACTACGACTACTACTATTACTACTACTACTACTACGACTACTACTACCACTACTACTACTACTACTACTACTGCTACTACTACATCTATTACTACCACTACTACCACTACTACTACTACTACTACTACTACTACTACTACTACTACTACGACTACTACTACTACTACTACTACGACTACTACTACAACTACTATTATTATTATTACTACTACTACTACTACTGCTACTACTACCACGACTACTACGACTATCACTATTGCCCTGCTTGAACCAGGAGGGTATTGGAATCGTGTAACTGTTATGCAATGTTTCTTGTCCCTCCCACACCTCTAGGGAGGCCCCGCCAGAGCGAGGAGGGCATCGGAGTAGCATTTACTATTTACGAGGTTTCGTGCCCCCCCCACCCTTGCAGCGAGGCCCCGACAGAGCGAGGAGGGTATCGGACTACTGTACTATTTGCATGGTTTCGTGCCCCCTCCCACCCCTCCAGGTAGGCCCCACAAGAGCGAGGAGGGCATCGGAACAGAATACTATTTGAACGGTTTCGTGCCCCTCCCACCCCGTCCAGGGTTGCCCCGCCAGAGCCAGGAGGGCATAGGACGACCATACTATGAACATGGTTTCGTGCCCCTCCCACACCATCCAGGAAGGTCCCGACAGAGCGAGGAGGGTATCGGAATACCATATTGTTGAGACAGCCCAATCGAGGGAGGTCCCGACAGAGCGAGGAGGGTATCGTCACCCCCCCCACCCATGCAGGGAGGCCCCGCCAGAGCGAGTTGGGTATCGGCAGCGTTCCCCAAAATAAGGACTGCGTCCTGAACAGCCGTTCTCTCCTTCCCTGCTGCTTCCGCTCTTAGCCTTCGTCGGCCCTCCCATGAGAATATCTCGACGTCCTGGGCCTCTCTCTTCGCTTGCCACCGCTGTGCCCCGCTGATCCCGCTAACCCCGTGACATCGTTTGTGGGGAACTCCTCCCTGCTAACCCAGTAACATCCTTCGTGTGGGGAACTTCTAACCCTGCCGTCGTCTCCTTCCCTGCTGCTTCCCTCCTCGCCTTCGTCGGCCCTCCCATGGGAATACCTTGACGTCCTGGGTCTCTCTCTTCTCTTGCCACCGCTGTCCCCCGCTGATCTCGCGAACCCCGTAACTACGGGGCCCAAGCATGTACACCACCACCTGCCGCACCCCCTCCCTCTCCCAGGAAAGAGGAGAGAAGGGGGAGGCTAGAGGAGGGAGGAGGAATCGACGTGGTCGTGGTGCAGATTCTTGGGACCCGCAGTAACATCCTGATGCAGGGGAGCGAAAAATGAAAAAAAACATAACAACTCGGAGGTCCGCGCGGATTTCTTTGATCCGCGCCGGACCCCCCTCCCCAGCGAGCGGAGCGCGCCAGGGGCGGCGCCGGGTGCGCCGCCGGGGGGGGGGCTCAGCGCGGATCCAAGAAATCCGCGCGGCGGGCGCGCCCGCGGGGCGCGCCAGGGAGGCCTCTCGCTGGGGGTCACGCAGGCTCCCATGGACGGGACACCAAACCTCGCGCTGCGAAAAGATTACGGCGGGAGGCTTTTCGCTGATTTTTGTTCTTTTTCGCTTGCAGTAAAAATAGCTTTTCCTGTAGTTGGACCGCGTCGGGACTGCATTTGGCCCATCCTCCTGCTCCTCCTCTCCCCTCTTGTTCCCCCTCCCCCTCCTCGTTCTTCTAGTCCGTGCGAATCTAGTCCTGTCCAAAATTGTTCCAAATCCGGTCCGAATCAGGCCCAAATCGGACATCGCCGGGGGTCACGCAGGCTCCCATGGAAAGGACACCAAACCTCGCGCTGTAAAAAAAACACGGCGGGAGGCTTTTCTCTAATTTTCGGCTTCTGGGGGCCCTCGCCAGGCCTCGGGACAGCCAGAAAGCGGTTCAGGATGAAAAGCCGGCCCTGGAGCATGGGTGCAGACCTCCCTCGGTCGGGCTCGCGTCATGCAGAAGTCATGACGTCGGGGGTCTGGGTTGCCGGGTAGGCAGCAGCTCCCGCGGGCACCGCGCGGCGCCTGCGCATCGGGGGAGAGTAACACGGTCGGGCGTCTGGGGAGGGTGTGTCGCGCCGCTGGCTCTGGCCCACCACGCTGCTGTGCGGCACGCTGTCCACTCCTCCCCGGCCCTCCGGCGCCAACGCCCCGAGCTGCTCCCTGCCTCCCGCCCCGCAGAGCGGAGCGGCACGCAATCCGCTCGCACGGCACAGCGTGTCGCCGGGGCCGCCGTGGCGACACGGCATCCCAAAGTTCCCGACCGCCAGCGTCGGTGCGCAGCAGCAGGAGGAGCGCGAGGCGGAGGGAGGTCGCCTTCGTCGCCGTCGTCGCCGCCGCCGCCGTCGCCGTCGTCGCCGTCGTCGTCGCCGTCGCCGGATCTCCCACCCCCTTCCGCATGCAGGGGGGGGCGATCGGCCCGCCATGAGGCCGGCCGTCGCAGCGAGCGCCGCACGCTCCGGCTCCGGCCCCCGCCTGGGGCCCGCCCGCCCCCCCCCCCCGCGGGCCGGCAGCAGGCAACTTGGCATCGCTGGGACGTGTGCATTTTTCCTTCGGCGAGGACCATCGAGGAGCATTTTTGATGATTGGGCGACAAAACCACGCACAAAAACCGACAAAAACACAAGGAATGGACGTCCGAGCGATGGCCAGGCAAGGCTGCTCAGAGACCCCGAGCATGCAGGCCGCTGCCGCCGCATCGCCTTGCAACGAGCCGCAGGCCGCGCAGCAAAGGTCACCTCGTGCGTGTGGCCGAGCGGGGCCTCCGGCCAGCCGCCGCCGCCGCTCCCCTGCTCCCGCGGGGGGCGTCCGGCCCCGCCGCAAGGCACTGCTGTCGCAGCGGGAGGGCGGCACGCTTCTGCTGAGCGACCTCGGGGCTCTCCTGCCCAAGGACCCCGGCGGCCCGTCGTGGCCGTCGCCGTCATAGTGATCATGGTCGCCGTTGTCGCCGTGGTCGCCGTGGTCGCCGTGGTCGCCGTCGTCGTGATCGTCGCCGTCACCGTCGCCTTCGGGCGAGTCGCCACGGTGGAGGGGGGTTGGGGAGGCCGGGGCAGGGAGGCCAGGAAAGGCAAGAATAGGGGAGCAAAAAGCGGCATAAACATAAAGATTCAGAGGTCCGCGCGGATTTCTCGGATTGGCGCTGGGGCCCCCCGGCGGCGCCTCCGGCGCCGCTCCTGGCGCGCTCCGCGCGCCAGGGAGGGGGGTCCAGCGCCGATCCGGGAAATCCGCGCGGACCTCCGAGTTTTTATGCTTATATCACTTCTTGTTCCCCTAAAGAGGGCAAGGCGAGAATTGAGGGAGGTGGGGATGAGCGGCCATCAGGGGTCGCAGAAGGGGGAGGGGATGTAACCAGTAATCCCAATGCCACGGGGCCTCCCTGCACTGACGTGACGGGTCCCACTTGGGTGCCCCGGGGCCGAGCGAGGGGGGGGCTATAGGAGCAGGGAGGACTACTACCAGAATTCCTCTCCGCCTTCATCCTGGTCCATGCTCCTCCGCATCTTCCTCCTCCTTCTCCTCCTCCTCCTCCTTTTGGAGGGTGGCTCAAGCCATTTTGGCTCAAGTCGTCCTGGCCCAAGCCACTCGGGCAGTCTTCTGAGCAGCCACTCGGGCAGCAGACACATTTCACGGCCAGGCGAAGCCAGTCGTCTGGATGTGTGTTTTGCGCAATGGGTGACTTCGGCAGGCGCGATCGCCGTGGCGCCTGCCGATGCATCTGCTGCCATATCTCCACGTGCAAAGGATGGACATGGTCCGACAAACGCTTCAAGGTGTGCGCCGCGGCTCTCCTGGGGCGGGTCCACTCCACCGAACCACCCGCGAACGGAACACAGACTGCTACCAACAGGTAGCCCTGCCGCTCAGCCAGCCCTGCAGCAGGCAAGGAGCCACAAGGAGCTGGAGAAAGACGCCCTGTGGATGAGGAGAAGATCCCATCGCTATCTGCGCGGCGGCGGTCCAGTTTTGGAAGGAGATAACGCACCACAGGCAACCACTACCTCCAGGCCGTTGAGGAGTTCAGAGCAACAAAGGCCAGGCACCTGGCTTCAAAGCCGTGGGATCAGCAAAAACAGGATCAGTGAGAATTTGCAAGAGGTAAGATTGTGACAGCTAAGGGCGACCGCGACAAGACCTTGGACACGCAAGCGAAGTTTGACCAGGAGTGCGGGCGCCAGGCCAGTGTCGTCCAGGATCTCGAGGTTGAGATGGCGCGCAGGACGGCGGCAGAGGCAACCATCAAGGAGACCGCCCAGACCCAGCCCCCGCCCGAGTCGCTGGCGGACTTCGTCGCCAGCCAGATCCCTCCAGGGCTGGTGCCGTCGCTGCAAGTCCAGGAGCAGATCAGTCAGCTATCGGGCCAACTGCACCGCGAGTGGCAGGAGACCCAGGAGGCCAGGCAGAGGGAGAAGGACGCCGAGCAGCTGTGGAGTGGCCGCCAGCTGCGGAGACCGCGCCAGGCCCTGGGGCGGGAGTTGCAGCAGGTTCCGCCTGCGGCCGCCCCGCAGCCAGCCGAAGCGCCCCCCGAGCCGACGTCGGTGCCGATGGAGGAAGACACCCAGCCGAAAGGGGCCACGCGCGCAGAAAAAGTCTTCGGCCAGTTCCTCAACCTCGCGCGGGCCAACGCCGCGGCCGAGCAGAATGCGGAGATCAAGAAGACTGCCGCAGCCCGGGCGCCCGCGGCCAAGGCTCTCTGCGATGCCGTGGGCAAGGGCCAGGCCCCGTCGCAGGGGCAACATCGCCATCGAAACCATCAGCGGTCGCTGTTGGAAATCAGTCCGCGGATTTATGATGCCCGAGGCTGCCGAGTCCATTGACATCAGTTGTTGTCAAGCGGTCAGAGTTTTAAGGGACGCGCCCCCTTCCATCATCCGTCGGTGCGAAAAGGCGGGATGCAATTCGATATTCTCACCGGTCGCTTTCAACCCCGCAGGGTATCTGGCCCAGGGAACTGGAGTTTTGATCAGGGACGGGCGCGACATTGGAATATCGCGCGCACCGACGCCACAATGGTTTGTGGCGCCCAGGTGCGCCGCAGTTCCATGTGAACTGCCAGGTCGCCAACCGCTGGTTTAAGTGTCGTTAAATTTGGCCGACGGGGTGGGCCTCGGCAAGTGCAGCTTCTGAGCTCCTAGTTGGGGTGGCGATGATCCGGGATGCCGCCAAGCAGCCATGATCATCGCAGGGGGCTTTAATACAAGGCCAGCGCGTCTCATTGAGTCTAACGCTGCACTACAGGCTGGTTTCAAGATTCTGGCTCCGTCGCCACCCACTTGTAAACGCAAGATGTCGCCATCCGTTATCTACTACTTTTTCGCTTCGAGCTGCTTCGACCAGGACTTCTCGGGGGCCCATGCGTCGGGCCAGTGCCCGCGCGGCCCCCGCCGGCCCGGGTTGGCCCAGCTTCGCTGCGGAAAGTTTTTTTTTGGCGCCCATCCTCAAGATGCCCCGGCCCCGCTGAGTTGCCAGTCCCTGCGGGCTAATCTACTGCGCGCCGCCCTGGGCGAAGACCGAAGCCGCCCTGGACTTCTGGGAGGCAGTCTGGAATAGGGAAACGAACGCCGAGGCTGGGATCTCTGCCCTGGACAGCGTCCACCAGTCTTTCGCGAGCGACATGGCGGGCTCAATTGGCATCGGGACCGACGCGCCGACAAAGAGGCGCCCGCGAATCCTTGGGCGACTCGCCCCAGCATCGAGCGGGTGCCAGGAGCCGCCAGAGACGCTGAGGCCCGCGCCGCTTGGAAAAGCGCGAGCGTTCCAGTTCGGTGGCTGAAGAACAAAGTCATGGAAATTACTAGAGCCACCCATAGAGATGAAGCGCGCAGCGTACCAGAGATTCCTCAAAACCTACAGCAGCCGCCACCGACACTGGAAGGATCCGAGGCGTTTTCCCGCTTGCTCTCCAGTGCTAGGACAGCCCGAGCAGCTGCGGTGCAGGACCGCAGCTCGGGCCAGCATGGCAAGAATCTGGTTGCGCAGATATCTGATCAGCTCGATGAATCAGTCGAGCGAGCCCTGCAGGCGGAGGAAGCCAGGGACCGCCAAAGCGCAGTCGAATTCCTAGGTCAAGGAAGCCGCGTCTACAGGGGTGGGATGGGCTCGCAGGTGGGCCTCGTAACTTACGTCCTGGCACCCTCGGAGAGCATGGCGCCCCTCGCTCCGCGTGTTTTCAGGGCGGCCCTTTGAGTTGCCCCGGTCCGAGGCCTCGAGGCCGCTGGGGCTCTAGCGCGCCGCCGACACGGAGCTGCCGCTCACCTTGCCGTCGGAGGGTTGTCCGCCGCTCCGCCCGATCGCGCCCCCCATGGCTCGACGCACTGCCGAGCGATTTCTCAACTTCAGCGGCCCAGGCGCGGGGCGGGCTTCGTCCCGGGCATGTGCCTTACCTGTCCAGAGGGGAGTTGCGCAGTTTTGCTCGACCAATGGCAGCGATCGAACGGATAGGAGTATTTCCGACCGCTATCCGCAGGGTCATCGTGGTGATGATTGAGAAGCACGCGGCCGACCAAACTGACGGCCCGTCTTGCCGTGGGATTGGCACGTCGCCCTCGTCGCGGCGCAGTTGGTCCCAAATCCGCCAAGCCGAAGCCCGATCCTGCGGACGAAACAACAAGTGGAACTTCATGGCCCGCCAGTCTGGTCGAGAAATTCGGGGGGCTGTGTTCTCAAGATTGCCAGCTTCATAGTGCGGCCTTATCTTTGGGGCGCATCTAACTATGATGAGAACGTGGACAGGCAGAACGGAAGAACAGATCCCTCCACCCTGGTTCCCCTGCGGCCCTGGTCCGCGCGCGTATGAACCAATGCGCGGGTTTCCTGCGCGGTGGCAACTCGGGCATTCGCTGCCCGCGCTGGCCGTGCTACCAGTGGGTTTCCCGCTGGCTGCCCGTTCGCAACCTTCAACGTCTTTGCGTGCCCAGCGCCCCCTGGGGGCCGGAGAACCCAGAAAAAGGGCCTCATCCATCTGCCTGGTCCGCGACCTCGCCGAAGGAGACGGCAGCGCGCAACGTGTGATCGAGGGGGACTTCGATTGCAGCATCGTTTTGCGCAAAAGCAGCAGCGCTTGGATCCTTTGCGCCTGCCCAGAGGAAGCTGGCGAAGGCGCTCGGCGAGCGCGCTCGGCCGTTTGGAGAGCGCCGGGGGCCGGCCCCAAACATTGGGGCCGATTTCACGGCGGGGGCCCCCCGGGGGAGGAAAGCCGGCATCACCCTGTAGAAAAGGAGGTCAAGATGAAGGAATGGCTCCAGCTTCTGGGCCCCCCCCGACGAGTGGGCCCCAACACGTGGAATCTGTATCTCACAAGTTTTGCAGCAGCTTACTATGGCGCGGAGATCGCAGGTCTGACCAACCCCGAGCTACGTGAAGCCAGGACGTTGCACCTTCGGATAGCGGGCCCAAGATGCTCGACTCGGTCTAGTTCCCTGGCCCTGGCGGTTTCGGGGAATCCGACCTGGAGCGCGGCCGTGGGGCCAGCGCAGCATTGGGCGAACTTTGTTTGGAGGGCGGCTTGCAACCCAGATGCTCGGGCCCCCGATTCCTGAACTTCGGAGGCAAGCCCAGGTTGCCGGCAACAGCGTGCCCAAGCATCGGCATCCAGCGAATGGGCCCCTCGGGGCAACGCTGCTATCTCTGGGCCGTTTGGGCTGGCCCTTGCCGGGTCCGTTCGTATCTGGGGACTCCGCTGGCCAGACGTGCCCTCTCGTCACTACCTCCCCCGCTCCCATCAAGAAGTTGTTTCAACAGTGGCATGGCCAGCTAACGTCTCGTTGGCGCAGCGCGCGCTTCAGGGCAACGCCATCCCAGCCGTCGACAGGAAGACCCTGCTGTCGCACCTTTCGCAGTGTATCCGGACGAAGGAGAACGCTGCTTTGGCCGTGTACGATTGCAAAGTATATT